TTGTTCCTTGTTGGAACATGACTATGTTGTTCGTTGTTGGAACATGTTTATATGTTGGGATATCTCAATATATCTTATTTAATTAATTCATCTATATACTTGGTAAAGGGTGGAAGGCTCGGCCTTATTCCTGGTGTTTTGTTCCACTCTTGCCGCCCTAGTTTCCGTCATATCGGTGTTATGTTCCCGGATTTTGCGTTCCTTACGCGGTTGGGCTATTATGGGAACCCCTTGACAGTTCGCCTTGGATAAAACTCCTCCAGCAATGCCCAACATTGGTTTTACCATTTGCACCTAGCCTCTTTTTCCCTTGGGTTTCGCGGACTCAAGGTTCATCTTTATTTTAACCCCCCCCGGGCTAGTGCTCCTCTGAGTGTTGGTCCAAATTAGAGCCCTGTGCAGCGCCCCCTCGGGGAAACTCGAGGTTTGGTTTTAGTTGTACGGACTGCTCATCTGAGTGTGCCCTGAGAACGAGATATGTGCAGCTCCTATCGGGATTTGTCGGCACATTCGGGCGATGTTGCTGGATTTGTTTTAACTTGTCGAAGTTGTCTTGTAGAACCGGGATACCGAGTCTGATCGGAATGTCTCGGGAGAAGGTATATCCTTCGTTGACCGTGAGAGCTTGTCATGGGATAAGTTGGGACACCCCTGCAGGTTTTTGAACTTTCGAAAGCCGTGCCCGCGGTTATGGGAAGATGGGAATTTGTTAATGGCCGGTTGTAGATAACTTGAACCTTAACCTAATTAAAATGAATCTACTGCGTGTGTAACTGTGATGGTCTCTTCTCGGTGGAGTCCGGGAAGTGAACACGGTGTTGGAGTTATGCTTGACGCAGGTTGCTCTAGGATCACTTCTTGATCATAGTTTCTCGATCGTGCTTTGCCTTCTCTTCTCGCTGTCTTTTGCGTATATGTTAGCCACTAAATATGCTAGTCGCTTGCTGCAGCTCCACCTCATACCTTTACCTTACCCATAAGCTTAAATAGTCTTGATCGCGAGGGTGTGAGATTGCTGAGTCCCCGTGACTCACAGATACTTCCAAAACCAGCTTGCAGGTGCCGATGAGTCTGTGCAGATGACGCAACCAAACGCAGGAGGAGCTCGTTGAAGATCTTGTCCTTTATGTTGTTTCGTTCTAGTTGGTCAGTAGTGGAGCCCAGTTGGGGTCGATCGGGGATCTGTGTAGCATTTGGGGTAGTTTTCTTTTATTTTGGCTCCGTAGTCGGGCCCTGATTGTATTTGGATGATGTAATGCTTTATTCATGTATTTGTGTGAAGTGGCGATTGTAAGCCAACTATGTATCCTTTTCCCCTTATTGTATTACATGGGTTGTTGTGAAGATTACCCCACTTGCGACATTGCTTTCAATGCGGTTATGCCTCTAAGTCGTGCTTCGACACGTGGGAGATATAGCCGCATCGAGGGCGTTTACAGGGAGGACCCTCGGGTTGGTTCCGTCGGATCTCACCTCAAGGTTACTCCCACCGGGATCTCGTCTCATTCTTGTCGTCGCACCAACTCCCGACCCGACCGCCGTGTTGGTGACCACCGCTTCTGATGTTGCTAACCCTGCCCTTTGTCGCGGTTTGTATCCTTTCTCTACCTGTTGGGCTTAGTGTGCTTCACTGAGTGTTTGTGGTGGCTGTGCTGCGATGACGGGCGGCCGGAAAGCCACACATGCTCTGCGTGTTTGTTGGTCCTTCTGGTAGTGCTTGCATGTGTTGTTCAACTAATGGTTCTACTGAAATAAAGCTTCATACGTTGTCTGTGAACTGTTGCGGTTCAGAAAGGAAATAATTATTGCAATAGAGTTGTTCCTGTTGCATGTACTAGAAGTTTGACACCATGTGAAACCTTAAACTCACCCATTTTGATTTGGTTTGCAAGCCACTAATCTGCTGTAGAGGCTGTCGCTGAAATCGTAATCCAAGGCGACCGACAGAAACAAACTTGCTGGTGCCACAGAAATTTGTTAATTTGCATTTCACGTGTGTTGCATGTTTGATGTAGTTGGTGATTCCGCAGAGGCTGGGACCAGCCAGGCGCTCAACGCATCACGAATGGTCCTTCAAGATTTTTTTATCTGCTAAAAATCCGACGTTAATTTTTTAGTGGTGGCAAATTGAACTTTTTTATGGCAATTTATGTTGTATCAAGGATGGCAATTTCTTTTAACAAGCATCACAAATCCAGGCAAAAATCTGAAATGGCGGATTTTGTCGTGCTTGCTAAAGGAAATTGTCATCTTTGTGACAACATAATTTACCCTAAAAACGTTTGATTTACCACCCCTAAAAACCTGATGTTCTCTTTGTGACAAGGTTCTCTTTGCAACCTTAATCTAAGATTTATGACATGACTATCACCGGATGCAGTTTATGGTACTATTGACTTGAAGAACAAAAGAGTGCAATAATATCAAGGCATGAATAAGTATTTTGAAAAGGTGAAATGGCCTGGTGCAATAATATCAAGGCATGAATAAGTATTTTGAAAAGGTGAAATGACCTGGTGATTATTAGGGGAACTGTTTAATGCTTAATCTTTATTCTTAATTGCTCTGAAGTGATGACTTTTTAAAAGCTATTGTTCTTCTAATCATATACAATGTCGTTTGTATGTCACCATGTAGAGCAAAATAGGTAACTGTCAGTCCATGTTTTCGTTGACCAGATCAAAAGAATTCACACTTAAAATACTGTGAAGCTCAACAGGGCGAAGTGGTTTTATTAAGAAGTTTTGAGGTTTACTCAAAATAGAGCTCATCATTGTCGATAAGAAACTATTCTAGATCTTGATTGATGCACATTGAAAGAATATTATTCTTGTACAACAAGCTGAGGAACGGTTAGATATGCTCACAGATATTTGAATGTTTTTAGTGTGTAAAGTAAAATAATTCTCTACATCTTCGTTCTCTCTATTCATATTCACTTATTGTAGTGCCTTTTTTTTCATCGTTTTAATCATGCCATGTGCTGCCCTTGAGTGGCGAGATAAAGTATACAATATCGTAGAGACATGCATGTTTTAAGGCTGATTAGGATCTATTTTCGTCTTATACCTTTTTGTTATGTTAATTAAGGTCAATTTGATGTCATGGTGTGCATTGGAGTGAGATGCACATAGTGTTGCAAATTGTTACAAATAATAATTACATTTTTATGAGATTATATCAAAGAAAGCTAGGGGGCATCGGCCTGATTATATTGCACTCATCTCGTTTCTAAATAAAAGTCTTTTTAGAGATTGCACCACAAACTACATACGGATATATAGACATATTTTAGAGTGTAAATTCACTCATTTTGCTCCGCATGTACTCCCTTCGTTCGGAATTATTTGTCTCGAATATGGATGTATCTAGAACTAAAATACGTCTAGATACATCCATTTCTACGACAAGTAATTCCGAACAGAGGGAATAGTTCATAATGAAATATCTAAAAAGACTTATTTTAGAAACGAAGGAAGTATTTTTTATAGTAAACATAAAATATAGCTAACTCTTGCATTGCATCATTTGTTTCTCTTTGTTAGGCCTTCAATTTGAACTTTTCATTTGATCTTCAAAACTTTAGTGCTTGTTGTAATATGTTTGAGGAACGCACGGGCCTAGTAATAATAATAGTTGTAAGAAATTGGACTCCATTATAAAATCTAGTGTGAGATTTTGACCGTGACAATTGGTGTATGCGGTGAGCAACCTCAAATCCAACAATGTCATCAAGAGAAAAAATGTCCAAGTCGACGCGGTCAGCGAGATGTCACGGGGAAAATAATGGTGTCCTTTCAGCGCGACAGTGACGCGGGCGGGGGTACAGCGAACCACTGTGTGCGGGTCCCACTCCCGACCTCCATGGACCGAGCTCACCCACCCCCTTCGTCCTCCTCCACAGCTTTCTCCATCTCCTCACGTCCTCTCACTGCCTAGTAGCCTAGCTAGTCTATCATCGTAGCTGTAGCTCCAGGCCTCTACTAGCCCGCAGCGTAGAATACGACTAGACGTAGTGCGAGCTGAGCCTGAGCTACTGCCACTCTCGCGACCGCGGGCTCCTGCTCCGCTCCCCCACCCCCCCTCTCCCTCTCTCACTGGCCGGCCTTTAAAGCTGTCACCTTTTGCCACCCTCCCCGTGTCGCTGTACAGTCTCTCTCTCTCTCCCCCTCCCCCTCTCGTCGCTCGTGCTGCGGTGTGCTCGTTCGATTGCCTCAGGTCGGACGGACGGACGCGAGCTGAGGGCAGGAGGGGCCGGATCCGGTGGTCCGGAGCGCGAGCTAGCGGCCCCGGTTGTCGCGGCGGCGGAGGAGTAGTAGGTGGAGTCCAAGAGGAAGCGGTTCATGGACGTGGTTCCTCCTACCGCAGCCCGGCGGGGCGGCGGGAGGCTGTGAGCGGGTCACCGGCGGCGCCCCTCCCCGCGCCGGCCGGCCGGCGTGTGTGGAGGTAACTCATGTCTAATTTCGCTCCACGCCTGATTTGGGAGCTCGGGAGGACGATTCTCGCATGTACTCTCAGAATGCTTATCCGCGTCGCCATTTGCCTTTCCTGATGGATCTTTTTTTCCGTCACTGAAAACATTTTTTTCTGCGATTATCCGTCTATTTTTTTGTCTCTGTCGCTGGAGGATTTAGCTGATGTTTCCGCGCGGCTAATTTTTCCACTTTTGATTCTCGCACGAAATCGCGCGATTCTGGCGTCACCTCGCCGCCCGCATTTGCGTCTTCTGCTGCGGCTGCCTTTCCTTTTTCCCCATTTCAGATACTGAGCCAAAAGCCGCCTCCTTTGCGTGCTTTTCCACGCTTTGTTGTTTATTAAGGGAGGGATCAGGAGGAGGGATGGAGGGACGCGGATGGCCCAACCGCGCTCGTCAATCTCCCGCGTTTCCCCATGTCAAATTTGTTCTAACCGCTCGAAAATCTCCTCCCAGGTTGTTCTGCCCTCAAGGATCGCTGCGCGCCGCGAGGGGGTGAAACTAGGACGCAAAGGAAGAGCTTAAGATGGCGGCGGCTGTGGCGGCGATGCGTTGCGGGAGCGGGAGCGGGAGCGACGGCGGCGGCGGCGGCTACGACAAGGGCGGGATGGACTCGGGCAAGTACGTGCGGTACACGCCGGAGCAGGTGGAGGCGCTGGAGCGGGTGTACGCCGAGTGCCCCAAACCGACTTCCACGCGCAGGCAGCAGCTGCTCCGCGAGTGCCCCATTCTGTCCAACATCGAGCCCAGGCAGATCAAGGTCTGGTTCCAGAACCGAAGGTGAGCATGTCGGCCGCCCGCCGCGCTTCGCCTTTTGTGATTTGATGGAATTTGCTGCATCAGCAGCCATTACGCTGCATGAGAGTGTAATGGTGGCTGGGTAAATTGAGTAAGGATGGATCACGAACAAATGTGGGAGTTTCTAGTTCTGTGTTGGAGCATATGTGTATTTTTCCCAATCTGGGTAGGTTCTGCATTCAAGCATAGTTGTCATGGGCTTTTCTCCGTGGTTGCAGGTGCCGTGATAAGCAGCGGAAGGAGTCTTCGAGGCTTCAGGCCGTGAACAGAAAACTGAGCGCCATGAACAAGCTGCTCATGGAAGAGAATGAGCGTCTCCAGAAGCAGGTCTCCCAGTTGGTTCATGAGAATGCATACATGAAGCAACAGCTGCAGAATGTGAGTCTCCATTTTGTTGTTTTACTTTTACAGACCACGTTGCTTGTAGGACCTGTATAAGTTTCTGACCGTGGCTACCTTGTGTCTGCATTACATTTCAGCCTTCGTTGGCCAATGATACAAGTTGTGAGTCAAATGTGACCACTACTCCAAACCCTCTACGGGATGCAAGTAACCCAGCTGGGTAAGTGGTTTTTGTTACCGACAACAGATGGGATCATCCGATTCCCTTTTATGCAAGAACTTGTTACATATCTTCCTTCCATTTTTTCTAGACTCCTTGCAATTGCGGAGGAGACATTGACAGAGTTCCTCTCAAAGGCTACAGGAACTGCTGTTGATTGGGTCCCGATGCCTGGGATGAAGGTCAGTTACCAATTCTGGAGGTTCTTTGTTCCAACACTGATACTAACGCTAAGTGGATCTATGCATGCTCATTTGTTTCTCCTTCCTGTGATTAGCCTGGTCCGGATTCGTTTGGTATTGTTGCCGTTTCACATGGTTGCCGAGGTGTCGCTGCCCGTGCCTGTGGTCTGGTGAATCTAGAACCAACAAAGGTAACTGTATACCTCAAACTTCGTTTGGAACTTCATGTTAGTTCAAGAACGCTCGTTGTTTGTTTCCAAGAGAATCATGAAGAAACTGTCGAATTTGTAGTTAACCATATTGTTTGTATGATATATGGCGTGGTTTCTAAAAAATGAAGAGAGACCTCAGAAAAAAAACTGTACCCCAGCTAGCCGTGCATACCTAGCTCCCGTTTCTCTAAAGATGTAAATAAAGCCTTTTGGAAAACTGAATCAATAAAGTTTTAAACTTAATAAAACAACTCATATGCTGCAATTTCATTTTTTTTGAAGAATCTTCTCATCTTGCCAGTTGAAACAGAAATCCTATCATATTTTCTTGCACTCCAAACTTCTCTACAAAATTGAGGCACACTGTTCTACTAAGAAATTATTCCCTGGAGTTTCTAATATTGCTGTGCATTCTAGATTGTGGAGATCTTGAAAGACCGCCCATCTTGGTTCCGTGATTGTCGGAGTCTTGAAGTTTTTACGATGCTTCCAGCTGGAAACGGCGGGACCATTGAACTCGTTTACATGCAGGTGAGCATTATGTCATTGATCACTTCTTCCTTTGCACAATAATATGGTGTACTTTAGTTCGGTAACTTGTATTGTCCATGCTATTTCTTACTCTTGGTTTGTACATTCAGATGTATGCTCCTACCACTTTAGTTCCTGCACGTGATTTTTGGACGCTGAGATACACAACTACAATGGAAGATGGAAGTCTCGTGGTGTGTATGAACTTGAATGTTGTATTGTTGTTAGTCTAGAGTGTAAATTAGAGCCAATGAAGCCTTTTGCTTACATCCCTGTATATTGTAGGTTTGTGAGAGATCTTTGAGTGGTTCAGGAGGTGGTCCAAGTACTGCCTCAGCACAGCAATTTGTAAGGGCTGAGATGCTTCCTAGTGGCTATTTAGTTCGGCCATGCGACGGTGGGGGTTCAATTGTGCATATAGTGGATCATCTGGACCTTGAGGTCTGATTTCAAACATAGATGTTAAATTCCGTGCATCGATGTTCCCTCCCCATGTTTCTTACTAATTTAATTCAATTATATCTTCACAGGCTTGGAGTGTTCCAGAAGTGCTTCGCCCGCTCTATGAGTCTTCTAGGGTAGTTGCTCAGAAAATGACTACTGCGGTGCGTTCTTAGTTACTACATTTCTTGATCCGCTTTTACCTTGAATTTGTATTTGTATGTTATCTTCTGTAGTATATGTACAGTGTCCACCTTTTACTTCTGATGATCAGTTCCTTGTGGCTCTTACTTGGCAGCTCAGAACCTCAGCCTAGTGCAATTGTTCAATATCTGTTATAATAGGGACATGTTTTTTTGGGATGAACAGTAAAAAGTGAAACAATCCAAAATAGCGAAGTTTCATGGAGAAAAAAAAATATTCGTAATGTTCTGGGCAACAACAAAATAAAAATGATGCTCCAAATAAGTTTTTTCTGAAACCATCTTGGAGCACTGATTTTTTTTGTGTGCAGGACAGCACGAAAGTCTTTCTGTTTTGAAAATTTGCACCTAGGTAGACTGCTAGGCAATGTTTGATATTTTTCGGATTTTACTGTTCATGACAGGAGCATATGTACTGGGTTCCAGACTGCCACTTTTTATTATAATATCTGTTACATATGGGGAGGAATGATCATAATTGAGTTCCTGTTTTTGGCACTGTAATGCCTAGATACATGCTTAGATTTTTTAGAGAATAAACATCTATTAGAAATGCTTGTGTTGTCCAAAACAATTTAACTACTTTAGTTTAAAGTCATTCGCTGGTTGGTGACTGTGCTCAAATATGCGATGCTAAAGTGAGATACTTCAAGATGATACTCATAATCCAGAGCTTTAAGTTTTTTATGGCACTTTGGCATACAAAAGTAGCTAACTGCTTTTTGCATCTTTTGACTGCTGGATCGTTCTGTAAATCCTAGTTTGGTACTGACCATTTCTTGTTGTCAAGGCATTACGACACATCAGACAGATTGCTCAAGAAACTAGTGGGGAGGTTGTATATGCTCTGGGGAGGCAACCTGCTGTTCTGCGGACATTTAGTCAGAGGCTGAGTAGGTTAGTCCTGGCTAATGATACTGCTACTTTTGCCCGTGCATGCCTTGGGCTGATGTTTATCTTGACACCATTTTTATGCCCTTTCAGAGGATTTAATGATGCTATAAGTGGCTTCAATGATGATGGTTGGTCTGTAATGGCTGGAGACGGCATTGAAGATGTGATTATTGCTTGCAACTCAAAAAAGATTAGGAGCAATAACACTGCTCCCAATGCTTTTATAGCTCCTGGAGGTGTTATATGTGCTAAAGCATCAATGTTACTGCAGGTGATGATGCGATTATTACATATATGTTAATTTGCATTCCCATTGATAAACACTTTGTTAAGTTTATTAAAACACCTGTTGTTCGATACTGGTATTCTTGCATCTTGTCAAAAATCTGATGGCATGCATTTGGATGGTAGCCTGGTACTTTTGGTTATTGTACTGTTTGTGCTATTGGCTTGTAGTGGTATACTAGAAATGTAGGTTTTGTTTTGTTTCACTTAGCTAACATTGCAGACACTGGAGAATTGAAAACCAACTTGGATCTTTCTCTTAATTCTTGTCTGCTATTTTTCAAGCTCTTACTCTGTCTTTGTTTGGTTTACTAGAGTGTTCCACCAGCAGTACTGGTTCGGTTTCTGAGGGAACATCGGTCTGAATGGGCTGATTATAACTTTGATGCATATTCGGCTTCAGCGCTGAAATCAAGCTCATGCTCACTTCCTGGGTTGCGTCCCATGAGATTTTCTGGGAGCCAGATCATCATGCCACTTGCTCACACAGTGGAGAATGAGGAGGTATATTCACAAATCTTTGCATGTACAGCCGTATGATTTGCTAGATGTTGGCATGATTTGGTATCTCTTCGAGACATTACAAATTCCTGTCGCTCATTGTTATATGCGTTATTAATCTATCCATGTAGATAATTGTGATGGATTGTCCTTGGTTGTATTTTCACGTTCTTCATTCTTGTAAATTTCCCATTTGTGTCTCATGTAACCTTCGTAGAGAGTGTGGCAGTGTTTAATAGTGTGGCAGATTGATAGAATAGCAATAGGTTATTGGCAAGCGAGCCTTATAACAAGCCTATCATTTGGAGAGGATAATAAACAATATGTATTTATACAAGATATGTTGATAAATTGCAAGCTATTTTTCTTGATGAGCGTAATAGCATGAAACCTTGATGAATAATTCAATATGCAGATTCTAGAAGTTGTTCGTCTTGAAGGGCAAGCGCTCGATGAGGGTCTTTTATCAAGAGATATCCACCTGCTTCAGGTAATAACTGACAGTTCATTGATTTAGTCTCTAGTGTTCTATTATCTGATCAATCAACCAGTTGGATTTCACTTTGCACATTGCTTATTAGTTGGATTTCTACTTTGATGCTAGTACTGTGAAGTGTACTGACAAGTGGTACTAAAAAGATCTCTGAACTTTATTGATCTTTCAGTTTTGCACTGGAATAGACGAGAAATCAATGGGATCCTGCTTCCAACTTGTCTTTGCACCAATTGATGAGCTTTTTCCTGATGATGCTCCATTAATATCTTCAGGCTTTCGTGTTATACCACTGGACATGAAAACAGTTGAGTATCCTGTTTCTCTAATTTATTGTTATAGTGAAATTCAGGACACCACTTTCCTTTACTGATCAATAATTCACTTTTCCTGGCAACTGCATTTTTTTACATGTCCTCCTACACTATGCTCCATTCTGTTCAGAAATGCATTGTAACATACTTCTATGCCATCAAAATATTTCTGAAAGTTTTATAGCTGAAACCTGATAGCCATTCAATTACAGTAGGATGGCTCTTGTTTGGCCCAGTCTTCTGGTTTCTACTTTGTTATATGTAGAATGATTTTCAGTTGCTCAGATTTTAACCCCCGGCCTCTGCATCAATCGATGCATACAAGCATCTTTATTAATTATTCAGCAAAGGTCTGACAAGAACATACATCAAGCCACCCGAAGCCACCACTCACACCTACGAACTCGATAATGTGGAGTGCTCTCCCTCCCCATATCTAAAACTGGTGTCGTCGCTGATCCATCCGCATAACGTATCGGAATCTACATCGGGTGCAGCAAACCTAAAGCGTATACCACATGCACACGCTTGAGAAGCCGCCATCATCATCGAATCGCTGACCCATCTTCAGGAAAGAGATCACATCAGCCTTGCCCTTGCCAGTCTGGCCATCCGTCAACACCACCACGGCGCCCAACGGCACCACCTCCCCACGCGCAAACTGCTGAGCACGTCGCGGTCGCAGCCGGTACACCGCAGCACCATACCGTGAAGTACCAGCAGCCGACACAGCTTGAAGTCTCCGGAAGATCTGTCGTGCGTAGCACCTGCCGAACAGGCATGACCCAACGTAGCACCTGTCGGCCAGGCATGACTTGACATCTCCATCGAAGCTTTGTGCAAAGATGAAGCCGCCTCTGTCTTCCAACGCTGCTCCACAAACGATGCTCCCAAGAGAGAAACGACACCGCAGTGCTGCCATTGTCCAATCTGGAAGACCAGATCCTAGGCTTTCCCTCGGAGCAGCATGAGTGGGTCGATAGTAGTTACACGACAATGCCTTCATCAAGGTAACGCCTTGATGAAGGCATCGTCGTGTAACAGCGCAGAACGCCGCCATCGCCCGCCGTCGGCTTGGTTTTCACCGGCAACTATGCCTCCCCGACTTGCAGCCGGGACTAGACGACGGATCTTGAGATCCGACCACCCAGCCTCAGGCCGACCACCTCTGACGGAAGAGATGACCACCACAGCCATAATCCTCGTGATGCGTGGCAGAACCGGAGTACCTCCGTGACCTGTCACTGAAGCCGATGAAAGGCAGCAGGTTGAGAACGCGACGACAGCAGCCCGCCTAGACTCAAAGGGCCTAGATTGAGCCCGCCTACCACGCCGCCGCCTCCTGCCATCCCCGCCGTCAGGAGCAGAGCCCACCGACGTGCCCCAGCCGCCGCTGCCCGCCGTCCTCCTCCGCCGCGCCACAGGGCCTTTGCCCGGCGACGTTGGCGGTGGCAGCGAAGGGAGGGGGAGGCGCGGGAGGTCGAGGGGAGGACCGGTGCTGGCCACCCGGTGGCGGCCACACGGGGTTGGGGGAGGGAGAGTCGTCCAGATCTTCTCGAGTTTCTTACCTCCTTCGAACTCATCTTTCATAGGATGGTGCATCCGCTGTTAAACACTAGATTTCCTGGTGACTGCATTTTTACATGTCTGCCCTACACAATGCCTCCATTCTGTTCAGCTACATTGCGCTGATACTTCAAAAAGCGCATGTATCCAGCCAGATACTGCCCCAATACTCGGATACTGCCCTGATACGGCCCGATACGTATCCCGTAAGTATCCATTGATTTTTTGATTTTTTTAAAAGAAAATAATGTTTGATACTCCTGGGATACTGCTGCGGTACGTTTTGGATACCTGAAACCCCTCTTTCGATGTGAAAAATTCCCTCAATAGTAAAGGCGCACCTTTTGAAGATTCCCAACATGGGCGTGAGTTCATGCCAAAACATGACTATCGATGTTCTTGTTCAATTGAAAGGTGAGCAAGAGAGTCGATGCACTGATTGGAGCAGCAAACCTAGGGAAATCCCACTGCCAATTAATGTAAGTGGACCAAGTGCAAGAAAAGAAAGGGGGTAATTCTATTGAGGCATGCTTTGACCTAGAAGCTCCTTAACTTTTTCATATTTTTAATAGTTAATATATGTAATATCTGTATATAAATGTATCCCCGTATCCATGTTTTTAGAAAATTGGCGTATCGCGTATCCGATACATATCCAAGTATCCCGTGCAACGTAGCTGTTCAGAAATGCATTATAAGATACTTCTATGCCATCAAAATATTTCTGAAAATTTTATGGCCGAAACATGGAAGCCATTCAATTCCAGTAGGCTGGCTCTTGTTTGGCCCAATCTTTTGGTTTCTACTTTGTTATATGTGGATTGATTTTCAGTTGCTCAGATTTTAACCATAATATATTTCATAGGATGATGCACCTGCCGGTAGAACAGTAGATTTCCTGGCGACTGCATTTTTACATGTCTGTCCTACACAATGCCTCAATTCTGTTCAGAAATGCTTTGTAACATCTATGCCATCAAAATATTTCTGAAATTTTTATGGCTGAAAGCCATTCAATTCCAATAGGATGGCACTTGTTTGGCCCTATCTTCTGGTTCCTACTTTGTTATATGTAGATTTATTTTCAGTTGCTCAGATTTTAACCGTCAATATCTTTCATAGGATGGTGCACCCGCCGGTAGAACACTAGATTTGGCCTCTAGCCTTGAAGCTGGTTCAACTACACTGCAAGCCTCAGGCGGTGCGGACGATTGTAACCTACGATCAGTGCTGACAATTGCCTTTCAATTCCCTTACGAGATGCATCTCCAAGATAGTGTTGCAACTATGGCCCGGCAGTATGTCCGCAGCATTGTCTCCGCCGTTCAGAGAGTGTCGATGGCTATCTCTCCCTCTCGATCTGGCTTGAATGCTGAACAGAAGATAATTTCTGGCTTCCCTGAAGCTGCAACACTTGCTCGCTGGATATGCCAAAGTTACCGGTAAGTATACCCATCGTCTTCTATTTTTATCATGTGGACGATTGATGCCAGTAGTGATCAGTGCTGCTTTTTGCTCTGGTCTACACCTATTCTTGCAAGGCCATGGAGTACAAGTAACATCTTTTCGAAAAAAAAATGGAGTACAAGTAACATAATAGTAGATGCCCAAAATTAAATGTATACTAAAGATTAACTTGAATGGAAGCTGATGCAAAACAACCATATTTACAGGTTCCATCTGGGGGTCGAGTTATTTAGACAGGCAGATGAAGCTGGGGAATCTTTATTGAGAATGCTCTGGGATCATGAAGATGCTATTTTGTGCTGTTCTTTCAAGGTACCTTCTAAAATGAAAAAGCACTACACACAAAAGTAAACAAATGCGTTTAACTGTTGTTTGTCTGTTATGTCTTCCTGGATGTCTGTTAAAATCATGTGAATACCGCTAGGCAGAAATGTGGGCTTTCTTGGCTGATATTCCTACCTCCATGCTAACATTCTTTCAGGAAAAGCCTGTATTTACGTTTGCAAACGAGATGGGAATTAACATGTTGGAAACATCTTTCGTTGCCCTTCAAGATCTCTCGTTGGACAAGATATTTGATGAAGCTGGTAGAAAGGCACTATACTCCGAGATCCCAAAGCTGATGGAGCAGGTATTCAACTGCTTCTTTCGAGCAACTAAAAAAATTACTCTGAAGTCTCAACTGCTAACACAAAATCAGTAGGATCGATGCATGTATTTGAACCTTGCCATGTAAAAATTCAGGGAAGCGCCGACATGTTTCATTTCTGTTTGTGTATTTCATCTCTCTGATTCTAATAGGCAGCCTCCATGAACTGATTAAACTTACTTTCCAATCAAGTCCTTTAAAATACATTTTGTCTATGTTCTCTTCTTTGCTGTTGCTCATTTGGGAAACGGATTAGAAGACAGCGCATCTAATAATCATTCATCTATCTGTTCAGGGCTTTGTTTACCTGCCAGGTGGTGTGTGCTTGTCTGGGATGGGCCGCCATGTCTCATTTGAGAATGCTGTAGCATGGAAAGTAGTTGGTGAGGACAACAATGTGCACTGCCTCGCCTTCTGCTTCGTCAACTGGTCTTTCGTGTGATCATCCTCCCAAGGCAATCCGTGTCCGTCACACGCAGCTCCATTTTTGCTCTCTGTAGAAGAGAACCGGCGCCTCTGGAAAGTAGTTGTTCGCTATCTTTAACTAGTTTGTTTCTTGATTTGAAGAGCCAGCATCCGGAATAATTCTGCCTAGTGTAAATCTGCTCACATTCCCACTAATTTACCCAGGCAAGAAGCTGGCTGCTGTCTGTCTGATTGAGGTGTATGATATGGAATGCTAGTAGCGAAATTGGGACAGGGCTGATGTATAATCAGTGTTTGTGTGTGAAGCGCTTTGGCCGGTTCCTATTTGACTATGTTGCGCGGGTACTTCAGAAAGCGCACATGTCCACCCGGATACTGACCCTATTTTGGATACTGCCCTGATATGTATCCTATAAGTATCCCTTGATTTTTTTTGATTTAAAAGAAAACACGTCTGCTTTTCTCTCTCCCTTAATCAAAGTACTCCTTTAGTTTGAAGGAATTCTATAGGATAGACTAGCAAAAAGGCACGTTGCACGAGAAAAGAATACCACATGCTTTTAATTTACAAAGGAGAAAACTTTGTTTTTGTCACTCTAGTTTTTGTCTACTTTGTTTATGTCACTCTAGAATTTGATATATCATGCATTACAATTGCCATTCCTTGGCAAAAACAATAACTTTGCTCCGATCCATAACCTTAAGCTCATCCTCGTGCCGTCATCCCGAGCTCATCCTCGATTCACACGGAACTCCTCATGCCTCCTCTATGATCACCTAGTTTGGTTCGCCAACATCTTCTTTCTGATAATTTATCCACCCCTTTGCTAAAGAGTCTTGGCTTGTTGTTTACAACCTATCTGAAAGAAGATGTTGATGTCGCATATTTTGTCCTCAAGCCCAACGATCATAATAGAGTGCTACATCCGATATGTTCTACACCTTTGATATGTGGACACACAGGTACTTGCGTCCCTATTTCATCACTATTTCTTGCCATACATGTTATATGTACTTTTCCCTGTTTCATCACTATTTATATATTATTAAACATGTCTTTTATATTATTTTATTATCATGCATGCCTCCTTTTTACTTCTTGTCATGCATGTCCTCTCTTTTTCCTTCTTATATATAGGAGAAATAGGGTAACATCTCATATTTATCAGATCTCCTCTGCATTTTTTCTTTTATTTCTTTTATAACGGACATCCCATCTTTATTGGATCTCTTTTTTATTTCTTGTCATGCATGTCCTTATTTATTGGGTGTCTCTAGCAAATTTATCTTTAATTTCGTCTTCAATCTTGTTGCTGAGGTGTTCATCCCCAATCCGGATATGTACCGTACCTACCGGTATGAAAGAAAGACGTATAATGCATTACTGATTAAAATTGCATACTAGATAGTATTTTTTAATGGTTAACAGGTAAAATAACATCGTATTCAGATTCTACAATTTTTTAATGAAATTTCATATATAACATGTTATATTTGGAGTTACGGTTTAGAAGCTATGCGTATTTTAAAAAACATTTAATATGTACTACATGTTTAATGTCAAAAAGCATCAAGGGGTTTTCTATAAAATAGCATGATAGATTAAGAATACCTATTTCTTTTATTAGTAGGTATAGATATAGATTTTAATAGAAAAAATTTCTTTGGAGTTCTTTGATTTGCAGAAATGAATTCTTATTCGTATGGAGGAATTCTTCCTATCCTCCACAATTCATTAGAAAATAAACATTAGCCTAGATTGAATGAAAAAATTCCTATGATGTGAATTAAAGATTTTTTTTCTATTCCTATTCACAGGCTTACAATTTTCAAAGAAGGCCTAAGAGGGTATGATGGTCAATATAAAACTCATCAATCTATTAATCGGGCCCCGAAAGACGCCTCGTTCGGGCTTGCCTTTCTCATCTTCATCCAATCTGCTCCGACCGAGCTCACTTACCCGGTCGTGGATTGCGGAGCAGCCCATCTCTCAGTTCTCCATTGAAGGCTCGAACTGTTGTCAAACTTTCTCTGCCCAGGAAAAGGACGAGATCTTTTCTCAAAAAAAAAAAAGGAAAAGGACGAGACGAAGGGACAGTAATTACTAATTAGCACAGTCTAGACTCGGTCCAGCCCTTTCCACGATTACTGAATCGACGTCTCGTACACAAGCTGGCTCAATCCTGATTGATTTCTTCTGTCTCTTTTATGAGCTAATTTGATCGCTGATAGATCCTTGCCGCCGATCGAATACGCACACATCGTTGATTGATTATTGCCGCCCGCCGGATATGTACGCAACGCACGAAGCCTAATTTCCAACATGGAATATCGTACGGATTAACTCAT